GAGGCGGGAGGAAACCGAAGCCGCTGAGCCAGAGAGCAGGACAGGCTTCGGTTGCTTCCTCCCTCCCCTTCTCTCATTTGTGTCCTTGATCCCCGATCCCAGCAGCATTCACCGAAGGCGAAGAAAGCGGCCATTTTTTTTATTTTTATTTTTCTTTGCGGCCCGGTACAGAGTGCTCCACGGACCGGTACCGGGCCACGGCCCGGTGGTTGAGGACCCCTGCTTTAAACAATACATATTTATTCAACAGTTGTTAGAAAAGAAAAGAAAAGAATAGCCCTTATTAATTTTTTGTTGAAATGTTCCACCATTTTTGCTCAGGGTTCTTTCTCTCTCTCTTGACAGTAGCAGTGTTTCTGTAGATAATGGTAGCACAGGTAATTCAGAGGTTCTCCATTTACCTCTGTTTCATCTCATACTTACAACATAGAATAGGGGAAGAAGAATCAATGCTTATGGACTTTCCACACTGCTAACCTTACAGTGAGGGATGTATGGAACACAGCTGCTTAATTTTCAAGAGTATTTCAGCTCTTTTCATGCCACATTGTGAAATTCCATTTCAGTTTAGAAATCCCAGCATCCGTCATATATTTATTCTGATGCTATAATATAGCTTTTCAGATTTCATATGTCTGGGTATTACACTTTTTGTCCAAATACCACTAGTTTAAGAAAGATCCAACATTTATATAATGCGAAGCATTAAATTCCAGTGCATTCTTCAAGTATTGTTATGTTTTCAAGTTGCTTATCGCTGACACAGCCATGTACTGATGATGTCTGGATTAATCTCACTCTTGTATTTTTGACATTTTCTTTTCTCTATGCTGTAACTAAATGAATCTCACTTCATTGTACTGTGGTTTATTTTAAATGTGATCACAAATTTCTTTATTTGGTTTCTTTTCTATCGTAGTATGCATAAAACACTTTTTTCTGCCTGTTAAATCATGCATGTGGTTTATTTCTTTGTCTGTTGCATGATATATAATATTTACATCCCTATCTTCTCATTTTAAGTTGGTTCAGGATGAAAATTACTCGTCTTCACTACCTTCTGAAGAATCAATGTACAATCAGTTTAATCCTTGATCACTTCAGATTAGTAGTCTGCCTTGCTAGCTGTGAATTCTGAAATCTCTCATTTAATAGATCCTTCTTTTTATAGTTGCTTTCAGCCAGTAGGAATTACAATGCAGTTCTGCTTGCTTGGCAGTTCTGCAGCTATTTCCTGCTTAAGACAAGTGTTTTGGGAGTTACAACGAATATCCCAGATATTGCAGGGAAGTGCAGTTCTAATAATATAGCTATTTCTCATTTAATGACCACTGTTGGGATTGGCAACTTGGTCTTTAAATGAAATGGTTGCTAAATGAAGCCATTGGCTGTGCTTATTAATCTTATTTCGGTTTACCTTTGCTTTAAGGTTCTATGAAACTCACAAATGTAAGGATTAATTGTAAAGTTAAAAGGAGGCAGTCACTAAATGAGGACTATCTGATGATTTTTATTTCTGAGCTGCCAGAGAGTACTTTTAGTCTAATTTGCTCTCTTTTGGTTCAGTTTGGTTTCACCAGTAGAACATTGTTGAATGATACTAATTAAATGTCATTTCATTCATAACTTTTTATAGTTAATAGTCTCCTTCACTATTGTCCTAGTTACATTTTGCTCCTTTTAAAATATCAGATGTTTTAAAACAGGAGTGTCAAAATGGCGGCCCACAGGCCAGATACGTCACACACAGGCCACACCCACTCCAACTCTGTGAAGGGAAAAAACATTGTGATACATCACGTGACCACAACGTGATGCTGCGAGTTCGACATCCATGTTTTAAAAGAATGATATTCTTTCAATTGTGTCATAATGTCTCTTGGGTGCTACCTAGTTGGGTGTTTCCTTTATAAGGAACTATGTAATCTGGCAATAATCTTCATAGAAAAGAGAGGGTATTTTGGCTAAAATTATTATCTACAAATATTTCACATTTATTAATTGCCTGTCCAAATATCCAAACTGAAGTCCAAAGAATAAAATAACAATATAAGAGTTTCAAATTTTAAAATGTCACCAAAAATTCTACTTCAATTTACTGTTAAAAACCAATGTAAAACAGGAAGCTTTAAATCTCCCGCTTCACAGAAGTGACATTTAGCCATAGTGAAATTTTTGAATATCTATTCTGTTACGTCTATCCATTCACTAAGAAAGTTTACCAATTTAATTTGAAACATAAAAAGGTCACCTAGTGAATGTCTTAGCTGGTAGGAGGAATAATATATGTTTGCTCAAGGTTTCCAGATTCAAGAATGAGGAAAAGTTAGTGGACGGCCTTTAATCAAAGATAAACATTATTAGAGTCAGTTAAAGAAAAGATACAGTTTCTAGACAGTGAGGTTGCAGTGTGTTTATTTCATAGCACAGAAAGCACATTATAACTGATTATTTTATAACAATATAACATTATAACAATACATAATATAGTATAATATTGTATAATATAGTATAATATAATATAAATATTATAGTGGTGTATAGTGTAGTGGTTAGAATGCAGTACTGCAGGTTACTTCTGCTGACTTTTGGCTGCGAGCAATTTGGCAATTCAAATCCCACCAGGCTCAAGGTTGACTCATCCTTCCATCCTTCTGAGGTGGGTAAAATGAGGACCCAGGCTGTTGGGGGCAATATGCTGACTGTAAACCGCTTAGAGAGAGCTGTAAAAGCACTGTGAAGTGATCTATAAGTCTAAGTGCTATTGCTATACATTGGCCTGCATGGTTTGCATTTGGTGCATTCTCAATGAATGAAAAGGAGGCTTTCTGGATTAAGAAGAAGATATTTGTATGATACCGCACTCTGGATTATAGCCTTAAAAATCTCTATTGCTCAGTACTGTACTATATCCAGACATCTGCAGCTTCTTAATTTCATGTTTACTTTTGTGTTGCAGCATTAGCTATGTGCCAGCAGAGCAATTAGAAGAGTACCAAGCCGGTTTAGGGCAGCAGCCAGAAGGAACAATGCCATTTGATGTTTTCTCTTCACACACTGTGAGGTAATTTAGAGTACTGTACTATTAATAAAAACAACTCCTTTTGCTTTAATGCAGTCCATCCATGAATAGAAAACACTATCCATGAATGGATTAAAAAAAAAAACACGCATTGATGTTGATTGGAAAAATACAAATTTGCTTGTTTTTTTCTTTTGGGGAGTGGAGGGAAAGGTTGGGTTATAAGTATTTATTCTAAATAAGGGACCAAAAAATGCAGGCGACGGAATATTGCAAGCTAATCATTTGTGTCCAAAAGTATTTATGGTATATTGACCCCCAATTCAACAGTTTGACTGTGGGAAAGGGGGTGTCTCTTCTTGCCAATTGTTCATTAAATTGGAGAGTATATCACCAGACCTGCTACTATTATTTGCATGATGATGTCATTATGCAAATTAAATCACTTGCATCAATTTAATCTATTTGACTAACAATGGTGTTATTCAAATGATCTATATTGATACTACTGATGTGAATCACTTCCAAAATTCGGTCTATTTCATGCAAAGTCCATTTTATCAACATTTCTGCAATATCCTGGCTGCTAATTTACCTGGAGCTTCAGCAAATGTTTATACTATATTGACTTCTAAATTTCTGAGACAAATGCAATATGCACTGATGATGTTTTGCATGACATCTGTTAGAAAGAACCACCCAATAAATTCCCAGTAATTCTACTTCATTACTAAATGACAAGTGTCTAAGCCTAACAGATGTATAGAGGATAATTTAGGTCTTTCTGTGGGATCTTGCAAACCTAATTCCTATTGAAATTGCCCAAGATGTCACTTTACAAGGGGGTGGGGGGAGGGTTGTTACATTCATGTAAGTAGTGAGCATGGTTCTATAATTGCTGGAGGGAGTAGGGAGATATATCAAAGTCAAAGCATCATTAGGTAGTTTCATTATTTGTCCCACTTTATGGAAACTAGACAATCATGAAGCCCTAGTCCATTCTCAGTAGGAATGCACCATATGTTTCATTTCACTTTCACATTTATTCAGTAGACATAGAAAAACAGTGAATTTACGCTAAATAGTCTGTAATATGTGTGCAGTTTCTAATAGACCTGCCCACATTCCCCTGCTCCTTTTTATGCATTGCCATGAAGGTGAGAAACAGACGGTATGTCCTGGTTCTTGTATTGTACTAAGGTAAGGCTTGATTTGCAATTGGTTTTACAGATCATGCTTAACAATAAATGCCTAATTGGATTAATTGAGTATGCTAAATTAAAATCATGCAAATTACGGGGAGGCTTAGCTTAGTGTCTACATTCAGATTAGATGTATTAGAAACTTTCATGTAATCCCAAATTACCAGATGGAGTTTCCTGCCTTTGGAAAGTATGAAAAAGTTTTCTGGGGCATAAAAATTGGATTTCTTCCACATATGGATTGAAACATGAGGAAGAACATGAACAAAAAGTTCTATTAAGCTAGTCTGGATTTATATTTTGGGAAGCATAGTCAACAGTTTTTATAGAGGATGTCTGAAATTCAGATGAGACACAGTATTTGTTTTTGCACTGGGACAGAAATCTAGCTGCTATTCTGCAATATATCTCTTAACAGAACCACCTATAGATTAAATATACATTAATTAATTAGAAATGCTACCTTGGAAAATTCTGTGGGTGGAATTCAGTGATATGATACGTTTATCATAATTTCTCTCTCAAAAAAAACCCAACCCTCCCTGAGCAGATTTTGAGGTCTTTCAGGGGGCTGTATGAAAAGGTGAAAGAAAGAAATCAGATTATGCTCTGGGGGTAAAGATTATTATTTCCTACTTTCATTGGAACTCTTTAACCTTTGTTTTCCAATGTCAACCTTCCTCCAAACTTCCAAAAACCTATTCTTTAAAATCTGGCAGCTACGAAGTGTTGTAAGCTTCGATTTGGAAAAAATGAACAAACAACCTTCATCTCCATATAGCCATATAATCTTGGAAATGCGTTTGGATCATGTATATTGAGGCATTTGGAGATTTGATCCCAGCCAATATCATATGGGATCACAAGGCAGAATAGAAACAGTGCTGATGTTTTCATTTTGATTTGTATCTATCTTTTAACATTGTTTGCATTGATAAATCTCAGGGTGTTTTTTGGTTATGTATTCTATCTTTGTATAATTTCAGGACTGGACTAGCTGATCTTATTTTATTTCGCTGTCCTATGATCCTTTAATATTATTGTTGCCTTGTTTATACCCACGTTGTTATCATTGTTCTATTATTATCCCCAACATACGTTTCTGTTTGTTACAGCTTTTTAAAGTTTTATTGTGCTATTTGCCAGTCCTTCTAATTTTCTCAAAATATTAAAAGAACTGTTTTGGGGAATCATCTTAATTTCTTTTGATACAGAGTAATGTTTATTTACTTGCAGAGATATTCCAGAACTACCGGAACGAGAAGAAGGAGAAGGAGAAGAAAGTGAGCTTCAGAACACAGGCTACAGTAACTGGAATCAACCAAGACGGTGTGTTCAGAGCTAACCTTCTGACTAGAGCCCAGTTTTAAAGTTTTAAAGGGGAATACATGTAGTCCTCAACTTACAACCATTCGTTAATGACTGTTCAAATTTACAATGGCACTGAAAAACGTAACTGATGATCATTTTTCACATGACCCTTGCAAGCGTCCCCATGGTGACATGATCCAAATTCGGATGCTTGGCAACTGGCAGTATTTATGAAGATTGCAGTGTCCCGGGGTCATGTGATCAACTTTTGCAGCCTTTTGACAAGCAATGGGGAAGCAAAATTCACTTAACAATCCATATTACTAACTTAACAATTGCAGTGATTCACTTAACATTTGTGGCAAGAGGAGACCATAAAATGGGACAAAACTCATTTAAGAACTGACTTGCCTAGCAAAGGGAATTTTGGGGCTCAGTTGTGGTCATAAATAGAGGACTATCAAAATTGTGAGTCTGAGGCAACCTGTTTGCTTGAAAGAGCTTCAGAATGAAACTTTGTAGAGCCATGGGGAAGTTTACCTGAAAAACAAGTTGAGAACCTTCCGGTGTACTATTAGCAATGCTCTCCTCGTACTATTAGCAATGCTCTTTACAGGAGTTGCTAATAGAATCTTCCTAAAATATACAGTAAAGATTGCTGAATGGAATGTACTGTTAAAGAACATAGTGTTGAAGAGCCAGTTTGTTGTAGTGAATAAGACACTAGGCCAGAAATCAGGACAGTGTGAGTTCTAGCTTACTTTAGGCATGAAAACTTACTTGGTCCAGTCATCCTCTCTCAGCCCAACTCATCTCAGGTTTGTTGTTGTGAAGGAAATAGGAGGAAATAGGAGGAGCACTAGGCATGTTCACCATCTTAAATTATTTATAAAAATAATAAAGGCAAGATAAAAATAAATAAAAACAACAATAATTAAACGAAGTGTACCTCAAGGTCCGTAGCGTGCTGCCATTTTAATTTTAAGCATCTAGGCTTTCCTAATTAGTAAAATCCTTTTTTCCTGACCTAATTGCACCTCAGTCCATTTATTTTATGTTGGTTTGTCATTGTAGGGTTGAGCTCTGGAGAGAGCCTAGCAAGTCCCTGGGAATCAGCATTGTTGGTGGAAGAGGTATGGGAAGTCGTCTGAACAATGGTGAAGTTATGAGAGGAATCTTCATCAAACACATCCTCGAAGACAGCCCTGCAGGCAAAAATGGAACTTTAAAAACAGGAGATAGAATTGTGGAGGTATTATGCTGATTTCCATTTTTAAAATGAGCTTAGAACTGATGGGGAACTATGGCCCCTTTAAGGCTGCCTCAGGAATTCTGGGAGTTGAAGTCCACAAGTCATAAAAGGGATCCCAGTCTCTGGCTTAGAATGTAACAATGTTTTTGCACATTTCTGAGCAAAACTTTATTTTTGTAAGAATCTTGGTCTCTAAAAGTAAATGAAAATCATATGGCATAACTGATTGGCTTATAATGTACTTGAATAAAAAGTTTTCATTCGGTCAACTCTGTTATTTCCACTTTGCAAAAAAAAAAAAAAAATGACATCAGGACTCAAAATGAGGACAAAGAGCATTTTAATTTTTCAGGACATTTGATCACAAATGTGAAGGTGCCTGTTTTACAACAACCAAACTACACTAGCAGTATAGAGCAGGAGACTGCCGAACATAACATATATCAAAAGGCTTCAGGCCTTTTTGGTCTTCACAAACACAGTGGTGTTTGACATTACAATTACTAATTGATGAGGTACTTGAAATATGTCTCATATGTAACCTGCATCTGCATAACCATCCTTTTGTCCTTCATCCCCTTTTTAAAATTCCACATCAATTGAATCACCCATGTATCGGGTGAACTGAGGTACAGCTCATGAAAGTTTATATCTTTTATTAAAAATTGATAGTCTGAAAAGATGCTCAATAAAGGAACATATTTTTAGTTCATATTTGAAATGAGGGGTCCTTGGTACTGTCTTGAGGTTGGTACCCCATTCCTTACTAACACTGGTGATATTGCCAACTTTTGGTAGTGAGACATCTGCAGGAAAGCAACCAGTTCTGAAAAGATACTACCAGTCTCCTGATTTTGGGCTACTGTATGCTAACATGGTTCTCCTTCTACAATACTAACAAAATAATCTTATTGTCTTCAGATACCAGAACAGATTTCAAACATTTGTTTTGAAGAATTTCACAGTTGAAGGGGTCTTTTCAGAAAACAGAATAAATTAATAAAAAATAAATACACTGTATAGTACCATCTCACTTTTAAAAATACCCAATGTTATTTTATTAGAGATGTGCTTACAACAGTGAAATACATAAAAACAATCTTGATTGGAAAGGATGAATTATTTATCATTCACTTCCAAAGGTACTTTAGAGATTATGTCCACTGCCATGTTTTTTGATTCTGAAACATTTACTAAGAGAGTACAAATATCAGTAATGTGGATTTATCATACAAAATGATGTGTAGAATCCATTGAGGGTTTTATTTAAAAAAAAAACCTCTTCATATTCCTCTATGTTACTACATTTTAGACAAGCCTTGTTATATATGTAATATTGCAGATTTATGCCAGGTTCATGCCAAAGACTTTGGATAGTCTTGAATTTAAGTTCATCCTAGATTCCAAACAAAAATTAAAATTATGTTATGTTTAACAGCCAGTGAATTCAGAGTCTAATTTAAGCTCCATCTCTGAACCACTAAAGATACAAATTAAATTTCCAGAAATAAAACAATGTTAAATTATAACTTACAATAATTACTTCCACTCTCATAGTATATCCTGAAAATTGTAGCCTGTGGTGTTCATGCATAATAATATGATCTTGCTAAATAATGAAATGCTGCATAGGAGGGACTGAAATTTAGAAAGGACTGGCTACAGATTTTTGTTTGTTTGTTTACATAAAACAGAAAAATATGTATAATTTTAAGACATTTCTCCATCATTTTTAGCTACGTGTACCATCATATTAAGCTTAGGACTTACATTTTCAGGTGGATGGAATAAATCTCAGAGATGCAAGCCACGAGCAAGCTGTGGAAGCCATTAGAAGAGCAGGCAACCCAGTAGTCTTCACGGTACAGAGCATTATAAGCAAACCAAGGGTAAGCATACAAAGAGAGGGGAAAAAAAGATATGTAGAACCATATATATGCATCCAAAGTTAAGCATTTATTCCAAATTTTGTTTAAGCTTAGGAGAACTGAGGTTTCGCTTTCTAAATCTTACGTCATCTACAAAGCTAAGAGCAGAATTAGTTGAGGTTGCAATTAATCCTTGGTTTTGTGGTAAAAAATCTGTGTAGAAATCTGTAGATTGGAAACAAAAAATGGCACTTCAGGGGCTATCTTGTTTAATCATGCAGAAAGTTGATATAATATTTACAGGAGTATCCAATTCTGGAAGTTGAAGTCCACAAGTCTTAAAGTGGACAAAGTTGCACACCTCTGCTATCAATTATAGAGTAAGATTTTGTGGATTTTTCCATACTGTATTGCTCTGGAGATCATAATATTACTAATGCATAATATTACTAACTAAACCTGTTATATACCACATCAATACACATCCCATCTTGATTTCCCACCTGTTAGCTGTGCCTGCCAAAAAGAAAATGTGATCTGTGCAGAGGCTAAGAAATCCACATGAGGCTATATATTTGAAAGATTAATTGGTTGTCCAAATACTGCCTTCTTTTTCCTAACCATTTTCCCTGTATTTTTTCATTTTGCTGTTAAGCATAAATCAGGAGGGATAAAAAGTCTGCAGTGCAGAATCACTAAATAGCCTTCCATGAAACAACATAGCTTTTAGCCACTTTGCACAGTCATTTTAATACTATTGCTTGCATCACTTAAAACTATACTTCCTGTATGTAGATTTTTTGTTTTGTTATGGTAAGTCGCTTGTTTGATTTACTGGCTCTTTTCATAACTCTTGTTTCCCAGCCAATATCTCTTTATGGCTCTTTAGCATCCTCTGCTCCTGGTGGGCAGAAATTTAATAATCCATTTTACCATCAGTCATCACAGGTAAATAGCATGGGTGATTCTGTTGAATGTTGGTGCTTTGTGTGCAGAATTAATGGGAGCTTGTGAATTTGCTGTGGCATGGGAAAATATATTTGCTTGCTGAACGTTGGTGATGTAAAAACAGTGCCTTTAGTTTGTGCTCTTTATATGAAACCCTAATTAATATCTTCTAAGGGGATTTCCAGTGTTTAGTTATAAGCAATCAACCAGAAAGCTAGCTGTATTTTCTTCTGGTAGTCACCTTTTAATGCTGCTTCATGAAATAAAAATAATAATAAGATAACTTCACAACCATAGATGGCTTTTTCGTCCATTGGAGAAAGTTAAAGCATTGTTTTATGGATATGAATGATTTTCTGTTGATCAACGAATTTTTGCAATTAACAATTTTTACTTTGCTTAAACTCAATAAAAGTCATCTTATTTTATTACATATGGCTATGCATTAAATGTATAATTTACCAAAAATGCTCAAGCTATTTTATGATGGTTCAGAGCCCTTGTAGTAACAGAAATTATCTTATTGTTTGTGTTAGACCCATCTCTCTGTGAAATTTGAACTAGCATTGTTAGTGAAAGGAGTTACATAAATGTTTATGGTGCTTATTATTTCAAATCATAGAGAGGTTCTATATTTGATAGAGCTTTGTAAATAAGGAATGATTAATGTCTGTCTGCATGCTTGTCTCTTGTGATCCTATCATTCAATGTTTATTGCCCTTCACTATATGCTTTTAATGCTTCCACTGAAATGTGGCATGTATTTAAGGCAGGGGTCTCAAACACAATTTACCTGGGGGCCGCTGGAGGCAGAGTCTGGGTGAGGCTGGGCTGCATAATATTATACTTTATATTATACTTTATATTTATATTATACACTAATATTATACTTTCATATTACGGTGGGGGTCACAGGATATCGTCCTGCGGGCCGCAATTCGCCCGCAGGCCGCGAGAATGAGACCTCTGGTTTAAGGCATCTTGAAGTGATTCAAGTTAGGGATTTCTCTTTTTAAAAATACGCACTGTTCAATTCTCTGAAGAAAGTGATAATCTGGTTTATTTCCTGAAACTTGTTTATATACAAGCTAAAACCTTCTGCAATGAAGCAGAAGTCTTTCTTTAAAGCCTAGTTGAACATTACAGAGAGGGAAGTTTCATGTAATAATATGAATCTGCAGAGTTCAAAGTATAACATTATGTGGTATCATTGTGCCGCAGCACAATAAAACTATCAAAGAAAAAAGTACTTAGGAAAAAGAAACAATGAAAATCAGGAGTACCATTTTCAAGAAGGAAATAATTATTCAGGGGGAAAAAACTATGTGGTGTGTTCATCACTTCAGTTTTAATGAAAATAATTCACAAAATGTATATTCTTAATTATGATCACAACACATATATATGTGATTTTCATATACAGATACTCTTAGAACAGAGCTGAGCTAAATTTTGATAGTCCCGAAAAGTGACCTGAGGACTTCCTGCTACTTAACTGCAGTTGTTCTTAATATCTATGCAAGAAACATCAAGTAATGCTGTCTGCCTTTTTATATATAAATATAAAAAAGCCTTTCCCCCCCTATTCATTTTAATTATCTGAGGTTTTTTTTTCATTTCTATGTTAAATTCAAACTTAATTATGTTTTTTTCTTTAAAAAATGAAATTTATTTATTAGAAGTATATCTATCTTTTGTTCATTAGCTCAAGGTAGTGTGCATTATGCTTCACTTTTTCATAGTGCCAGCAGCCTATTCAAATGTGGCATGATTAACTTCTTTCTTATTGGAGTATAAAAATATTGGGGAAGAGTGAGCAATTGCTGGCCAGCATCCCTCCTGTCAGGTTTCCAAGTGATGAAATCCATTTAAAAAGAAAAGAGCAAAGTCCACGTGCCTTTTTTTCCTGTTTAAGTATAATAATAGTTCTGGCCTGTTACCTGACAGCTGACTTTCTCTCTCTCCCCCCACCCCCTTTCAGGATTAGTGCCTTGAAAATAAAGGGAAATGTTTTAACTCAGTCTTTGAGGTTAAGGGGACTAATTTTCTTAGAGACCTTTGCTATATCATCTTCTTCTTCTCCTTCTTCTCCTTCTCCTCCTCCTCCTCCTCCTCCTCCTCCTCCTCCTCCTCCTCCTCCTCCTCTTCCTCCCCCTCCCCCTCCTCCACCCCCCCCCACTCCCCCCTCCTCCTCCTCCTTCTTTGCCATTTTCTATCCACTGCAGGATGAAGGCCTCTTCTGCATGTTTCCAACCAATACGGTCCTGAGCTTTCTTTTGCCAATTGAGCCCACAATGCTAGCTGATGTCATCAATCCATCTTGTTTTAGGTCTCCTTTGTGGACACTTTTATCAAATAGGATCCATTCTATGACTGCCTTGGTCCACTTGCCATAGCAAGTTCTTGCTATGTTACCAGCCCATTTCCATTTCAATTCAATTCATTTTTGTTTGTTCTCTAATCCATGTGCAGGTCTTTCTATCTTGTCTCTTTGCTGTATATCAGTAGCAATACACTTCTTATAAATTTTTTCTTTTTGGAACTTTTTAGTTGTCTTCTGCATCTTGAAGAGTAAGCATTGCTGAATCCCTTTAAGGCTTCAACATTCTCACCAGATGTAGAGCAGATAGGGTTTCCATATGCACCTTAGTGTATGTTTTTTGAAGATGGAATGTATCTCAAGATAAATAAAATGTATGCCAGCTTTGAGGCAGGTAGAAACTTACCAGTTGAATTGATGTTTGCTATCTTCTCTTAAAAACAGTGCTCCAAACATACTAAGAAATTGTCCTAAAAGTACAATGTAAGAATAAACACTAATCTTAAAAGAGAAAAATGTGCAGAAGTTTAGTTCAGCTTTATTACTTTTTTTCAAAAAAGGGAAGAAAATAAAGTGTCTGTTTTCCTATATTTTAAAGCTATAAATACATTATTTGCTGAAAAATACAGAGTCGTAGAATCAAGTCTCATTGTAGCCTTGTTGAGTTTACTTTCTTCATCTCTGTTCCTATAGTATGCGGTTTATATCACTAGTAAATAAATGTGCTAAAATTCTTGTAATGAATCTATTTTGGTCCTCATTTTAATAAGACAGTGTAGAACAAGTAACAAATGTGCATATTTACCCAAATAGGTAAATCTAAGGGCTTATCGACATCCTGTATGGTTTAATCATCTTAAACAACAGGGTTTGCTTTATTAGGAAAATTTCAGCATAAAAATATTGATTCATAAAGCTCAAAAAAATCTCCTAATAAACAATAGTATTAAAATATTACTTTTAGAAGAAATCCCTATTTCTGTGTGGTACTTGCAGTATAATCACTGTTTCGCAAATAGGTAGTCCTTGACTTACAACCATTCATTTAGTGACTGTTCAGAGTTACGATGACACTGCAAAAATGACTTACGACTGTTTTTCACACTTACGCCTGTTGCAGTATTCCTGTGGTCACACGATCAAAACTTGGCTACTTTACAACTGGCATGTATTTATGATGGTTGCACTGTCCCTTCTGGCAAGCAAAGTCAATGAGGAAACTGTTACGGATTTTAACAACTGCGGTAACTCACTTAACATCTGTGGCAAAAAAAAAGATCGTAAAATGGGGAAAAATTCACTTAACAGCTGTCTTGCTTAGCAACAGAAATGTTGGGTTCAATTTTGGTTGCAAGTCAAGGACTATGTGTAAGCTGCCATTTGCTGTTGGGCAAATGCTGGTCACGCATGTGTGAACATGCCCTATAAATATGTGTCTTTTGATTAGCAAGTTTCTTTTCTGTTTTTATTTTTTATAGAATTTCCCTATGCCTTATCTGCAGTCCAACCCTTTCACTAAGCCTCCTGCCTTCAGCAGCACTAACCCTTTTGTTGACCCTCTGCAGTTCAACACTAACAAGGTTGGATTATTCCCATGTGTTTGTCATGGACTTGGTGAATATTTATGTGTTTATCTTTTTTTCCCTTCCTTTCCTAGACCCTCATTTAATAATAATAATGTTTCATAAGTTAGTGGTTTGCTGGAAGTGAATATTCTCCATATTGAATTATGGCCATCATGCTCATATCCCTCTCATCTCTTTCCATTGAAATTATGACATGAAGGTAGAAGAAACTTTTGATAGTTCCTGATTTATCAAAGGATGATGGTAGGTCTTATGGGAATTTTAACAAGTTGGAATTTTAAGAGTAACTTTCTAAAATGATTTGGGTTTACTTAAAGGAGAAACTTAGAGCTGAATTAATTGGCAGAATTGATGGGAGTTTTGAACAAAAGTTTCTACTTTGAATTTTGGACAAAAACATTGATAGAAATATTTTGCCTCTTCCACAAATCATATTATGATTGTAAAAAGTTAATCTAGCAAATATTGAGTACAGTTATGTAATAGTACCATTTTACTCTCATATATCTGGAGGCTAGCATTGCAGCAGTTGTAAACAGATGTTTGTTGAATTGCTTGTAAGTGAATTGTTTGTTTAGTTAGAAATAGAAAGTTCTGTTTCTACTAGACCGATTTGATATAGAGCTAAAGGCACCAGGCTGGGAACCAGGAGGCTCTGAGTTCTAGTCCTACCTTAGCCATTAAAATTACTGGGTAACTTTGAGCCTGCCAGTCTCCTTACAGTAGCGTTTCCAAATCTTTTGGGCACCAGGAACTAGTTCTGTGGAAAGAGGTTTTTCCACAGACTGGAGGGGGCATGGTTTCATGTGCTGCCTCCATTCCACGGATGGGGCTTCGCTTGTTTGCATGGCCTGGTTTCTGTCATACCGCAGACCAGTGCTGGTCCACAGACTGGGGGTTCGGGACCCTTACCTTACAGGATTGTTGTTCTGGGAAGAATAGGAGGAAGACAAAGGAATATTGGGTATGTTCACAGCCTTGAATTCTTACAAAAATAAGAAAGGCTCCCCAGGAGCAAACTTTTGTTTGCTCCTGCCCAGTTAAGTTTTCACTGAATTTGAATAAGTCAAATTATTCAGTATATCTCTCTATCTGTCTATCTATATTACATTCCTGCATGCTCATCCTTTACTTTGACCCTATGAAAATTTCAAAGGAGTCATCTTTTCCTTCTAAATAGACCTGCTATTTTAGTGTGAGCATAAATAATGTTCATATCATACCACGAAATATTCGGGCATTCCCATGACTAAATTTATATGTGATAATGCTAATTGGAGAAAAAGCCATCAATGTCTTTTTAAAGACATAACCCCTTTTCTCAGTAGAGTTTTCCAATTTCAGACATTTTATTTCCATTCATATCTTAAGGCCTTTCCACATATTTTCCTAAGGACATGGAAATCAATTTCCAAACATAAAATGTAAGTTCTGCAAAAGGCATCTTTTTAGTGTATTATTTATTTAAAATATTCATGAGAAGCACTTCCAATAGTGTACACAATTGAAGAATGCTGTGTTTGTGAATCCAGCTGTGTCGCATCCATTTTGCCCTTCATTCGTGCAACCATTCAGTCAATTTATACAGCCACTCATCTCACATCAGTGACTCTGAGCAGCTCACAAAATTAAAAACCACAGCAAAATGAAATAAAATATAAATAACCATAAAACCAAATTTAAAACCATCAACACGAACAGAAAATATTTTTTTCCATTTGTGAAAACAAATTTTAAAAAATGCTCCCTGTTGATTTGCTTTTTCCATAGCAGCTCTTCTGTAATACTCTAGTATGCACTATTCATAATAGCATCTCCCCATCCATCATGAGATTCCCAAGAAGAACTCTTGATCTAAGCTAAAGCAATGTCTGTATCAGATTTCACCCCATTTACTATTTCAGAGACAATTTTTGATATAAAACGATGCAAAATCAAGAATATAGTTATCTTTTGGAGGATTCATTCATATTCCTTAACATGTTCCTGTTTGTCCAATTTCGGAATTAAAATGAAAAGTTGTAGCGGTATGTAGGCTGAATAGACATTCATCTTCACTGAATTTGATTTGCAGTTTCCGTCTTGTTTGCATTTTATTCTACTGTTGCTGTGTATTTTAACTTCAAAGTCCTGGGTTTTTCTTTTTCATCATCCCATGCATTTTTATTGGCCATAATTCCTCTGTCTCCTCAAACACTGTGTTTTTCTTACTCCCCACAGGCATCCAGTCAGTCAGATTCAGAGCCAGAAAAAAAACCATCCTGTAATCTGCCCTTGCCTCCTCCTTCAGTATTTCCAGCAATGAGCAGTGAAATTGTACTGCAGTCCTCTAACAATCACCTGGAAGATTTGGATAAGGAGGATGAGTTTGGATACAGTTGGAGTAAGTTACCTCTTTATCTGCAGTGTGATGTTTTCAGTAGTTTTTCTTTTAATATGCTTGAGTAGAATCTGTGGTCAAATATAAGTTTCGTTGTTTCCTTGTGCTGTAAGCATTCAATCTGGGCCACAAGGCTTTAATATAATTGTGCTTCATGTGTAACGCAGGAATGATTGTGATTGTTGTTTAAAAAATATTCCTAAAAGTAGCACATAAATAGAGAAAGTATCTTTATAATGAAAGGAATGATTCTCACTTTCCTGTTTCAAAAAAATGAAGTGGCTGAGGCATGCCTTTTTCTAAGTTTGGCAAGTGAATACAAACATAAATTCATTCTTGAATTGTTTTTGTAAGCTTGAGTTGAAGTTAGGGCTATTGAATTCCAAAGTTTTGGATTCGATTTTGACTTCGCCGCCCTTTTGAATTTTGCTCTCTTTATACTTAGGGAAAATCAGTCACCAGTACGGGAATCTGTCAGGAGATCTGCACATGATAGAACTGGAGAAAGGGAAGACTGGATTAGGACTCAGCCTGGCTGGGAACAAAGACAGATCCAAAATGAGTGTCTTTGTAGTGGGCATTGATCCAAACGGAGCAGCTGGAAGAGATGGAAGGCTGCAGATTGGAGACGAGTTACTGGAAGTAAGTGTCTAATAGACTTCAATGACCTTAAGGACAGAAGAACAATTAATTCAAAACAATGAATTGGTATAAAATGTAGGGTTTAATTAAAACAACATTATTTTCATCAGTATGTCCCTTCTTTATATAAATTGTACCTAGAACTAAGGTTGTAGACTATAAAATGTGACTTACAGATTGCATATTATAGCATACAAAGACTGGTTTTTATTATTTTTGTTGTGATGCTTTGGTTTGCTTCTTGAGCATTAACAGAGAGAGGATCCTTTCGTTCCCTTGCTTATCTTCTGGAACAGTGTTCTCGCAGAAATTTGTATGGGTCTTGTGTGCCTTGGTTTAAAAAGCTGTTAAAATAGCAATAGCACTTAGATTTATAAACTGTTCCATAGTGCTTTACAACACTCTCTGGGAGGTTTACAATGTCAGCATATTGACAATCTGGATCCTTGTTTTACCGACTTTGGAAGGATGGAAAGCTGAATCAATCTTGATCTCTGTCAGGATCAAACTCTAGGCCCGTGATGGCGAACCTATGCCACGTGTGCCAGAAGTGGCATGCAGAGCCATCTCTCTGGGCATGTCATCCGTCATCCGTTGCTTTTCTGGGTTCTGGTGTGCGTATGCGCATCAGCCAGCTGGTTTTTGTGCGCGGGACCTCCAGAAACTGGAATAGCAGCTCCCTGGCATGCCTGCATGTGCTAGCCAGCTGGTCTTTATGCACACAGGAGTGCCGTAAACTGGAAGACCAACTCCCCAGCAAGCAAATGTGCACTGGCCATCTGGTCTTTGCATGCACATGCATGTTAGAAATCGGAAGAGCAGATGTGCACCAGAAGCTAAGTTTCTGGTTTCCGGCACTCCACATGTGGTCAGGGAGCTGCTCTTCCAGTTTCTGGCGCTTGTGTGCACTCCATTTTGGCACTCAATGCCAAAAAGGTTTGCCACCACTGCTCTAGGCTGTGGACATAGTTTGTCTGCAATACTGCATTCTAACTATTGCACCATCAAACATTACTTTTCTTATGCATATCCCAGGATAATGTTGCAGGATTCCTTCCTTCCTTCCTTCCTTCCTTCCTTCCTTCCTTCCTTCCTTCCTTCCTCCCTCCCTACCTCCCTCCCTCCCTCCCTCCCTCCTCCCTCCCTCCCTCCCTGGTCAAAGAGTTAAAAGAAAATAGAATACAGCAGTTAGGAAGGCATGAAAATAATCTTTGTGGGTCCAAAGATTTCATGTATATCTACAAATTATACCTTGGACATTGATGATGTATAGAATGGGGCCTTTACAAAAAAAAAATCTTAAACAACAGGCATGAGGATAGTTCAAAGGCAACCTCCATAACAGACTTTGTAGAGAAGAGGAATTGTTCTTTTATATTTGTGCTGCCAGAAGCAGTTCTGTCAACAGAACTTTGGAATACGTTTGGTATTAACTTAAAGATGATTAAACTTGGAAATTTAAGCAAAATATTCAGACATTCTTGTGCAGCTATAAATTAGTCTGATTGCAAATCTTTTTGCCATTATTGGTATTTATCAGTCTGCTCCTCCATGCCTTTGTTTTCATTTGGCAAAAAATAAGTTATGAATTATTAGTAAAAATTAATGATGGTGTTCTCAATGTCAGCCAAACCACTGCAATCAAGCAAAGGGCGTTTTCCAATCCAAGAGAGAGGCCAGTACAAACCAACAGCTGTTAGGATTTTGATAACAGGGAAAATAATAAATATTGCAGGATTAGTATCCACAATGGAATGGCTGAAGAACAATATTAATTAGTGAACAATTATAATTAGTCACTGAATCAATTATAACAATAATCAGCTTTGCATGTGAAAGAATTGATTTGGGGAAAAAATAATGAAATGTGTATTCTTGTCTATTTGTGCCATGCTGATCAGATAAATGGACAAGTTCTGTATGGAAAAACACATCAGAATGCATCTTCAATCATCAAATGTGCACCTTCTAAAGTAAAAATAATCTTTATCAGGTAAGAAATGTTTAGTATTTTAATCTTTTAGTCTTGTCTCAGTTCATCTTTCAGATAATGGGAAGGGCATCAAAGCATTGCTAAAGGTTTTCTTGAATTACATATATACCTTTTTTCAGAATTGCAGGTATTAACTTTGGAGTCCCTCTGGACTTAAATCAATAAATAAATAATGTAGATTTTTTTTATTAAAAAGTTATTATTTAGATATTAAAAGCTTAAAGAAAACCTTCAACATCAGTTCTATAGTATTAAACTTGTATGCTTTTTGTATGATAGAAACAAAGGTGCTATCCATCAGATGGCTATTTGTCCTGGTAAATCACTGGCATCAGAATCTTCATCTTCAGGGATGGTTCAGCACGAAGAGGTACAATGCATATTTAATATTCATCTTAATTTAGTAATTGAAAAAATTGCTACTTGTAATGTTTTTCATTGAAAATAATCAAAAGGCAGACCCAGTTTTAGTTTAGAAGTAACTTCATAGAGATACTTTGAGTGAATTTAAACGTGGTTCTTTTATAGCTGTTGTAAATATATATTTTTAACATATTTATTTTGTTTAGGGGGAAGTGAACACTTCAAGCTCTAATTTACCAATAGATCTGACTTTATATAAGAATGTTCAAAATGTGGAACTGCCTAAGGTAAATACGTGCATTTATGTTCTGTTTGTATCTCTGTAGTCTTAAATCAATTTCTGGCAGAAAGTTTCTTTTATTCTGATGCAAAAGGTACAAATGAGATAAACCGCCTCACATTTTATTTATGTATTTATTTACACACAGAGAGTGGTGGAATTCAGTCAGTTCGCACCAGTTCAAATGAACCGATTGTTAAATTACCACCACCACCACCTTGCTATCAAAGTGGATCCTGGGCGCTGCACTGCAATGAAGAAATGGGCAACAGAGTGTCCGGTGCGAGGAAAGGAGAAGAACGCTTTCCCTCTTTCTTCTCCCTGTTCCTCCTCCTTCCCTCATGCTGTTCTCTCTGTCTCCCTTTTCTCCATTGCAGCATAGCGCCCAGGATCCACTTTGATAGTGTGCGTGTATGTGTGTGTGTGTGTGTAATAACCTGTTCACCCAGGGTCAGGATGGCCATCATGGGAGGCTCGCCCCCGCTTGCGTGGTGCAGCTGGAGGACGCGGGTGGGCTACGCCTCCATGACAGCTAACCTGACCCTGGGTGAACCAGTTGTTCAATTATTTGAATCCCACCACTGCATACAGAGATACCTAGATATGAGTAAGCAACCACGAAAACATTGTTTAATGTGCTTAAATTTCACAAATGCTTTTTAAGTTTCTGAGAAATGTAAAACCTAAAGTGAATATCTGTATATTAGTTTGAAAATTTTAGTTTAAATTTTTATTTATGTAGAATTTGCTAAGACAGAATTCCTAAAGTATCATTTTGTCATTGGTTAAACTCTTTAATAATGGTAGTTGCCCTTTGTGATTCTTTAGGATCAAGGTGGCATAGGTATTGCTATTGGTGAAGAAGATACACTTAATGGTGTAGTTATTCAGAACTTAACAGATCATGGCGCAGCAGGAAAGGTAAACTTGACACTGAAGATGATAAAAATTTACATTTCCTCCTCCTTGACTTGTGTTAATGTATTTATTTGATTTCAGGATGGCCGAATTAAGGTTGGAGATCAAATTCTAGCAGTGGATGATGAAGTTGTTGTGGGCTATCCTATAGAAAAGGTAATTGAGCAATGACTGACTACCCTAGGCAACTTTTGAAGATTTTTTTTTTTATCATAAGCTGAAACACTTCATTATATATTTTATTTTCATTTATCAAAACTTTTGGCTGCCAATCTTATCACAGGATAACTCTGGGCAGCTTATATGTTAAAAAGGATAAAAAACAGGGATATAAAAACATGCATATAAAATAAAATACTATAGAAATATAAATTATCAACTCTAACTAAAAGATGGGAAGAGAGATAGTAGGATGAGCCGGAGGGCATGTGGAATTTAAAAACTTTCTATGGGACTAGGATTGTAGCATTGTTCAATTTTTAAAATTCAATTCCTATCTCACATTTCATTGAAGACTGGGGATGGTAATTTGTCTTGTTCAATATTTCTTATGATCTGTTTGTTATTTCATCAAGTTTATCAGTTTGCTGAAAACATCAAAGCCCAATGTGAAACTCACTATTAGTTCAGTTGAACCGGAAGGTCTGGCAGTTCCCCAGCCACTATTATCAACTTACAGCACCACTTTGAGCGAGGGAACCAATATCCAGCCATCACAGATTGTCCCATCATCTGAGTCACCAGAACCAGAGTTAATTAAAAGTAAGAATTTTCATTTACTCCATGTTAGAAAAAAGTGCACTGTGTTCATATCAATGTGTATGTATGCGCATAAACACATCAAATATTGAATCAGCCATTAGCCTATACCCTTGATGATGAACCTATGCCACGCGTGCTCGAAGTGGCAAGTTGCTCTTCTGGGTTCCGGGTTTGGTCTTCATGCACGCAGGAGTGCCAGAAACCGGAAGAGCAGCTCCCCAGTGCACATGCACGCACCGGCCGGCTGGTCTTTGCACGCACGGGAAGCAGCACCCCAGCTGGTCTTTGCGCACGCATGCTTGTTAGAAACCAGAAGACCAGGTGGTCGGCGCACGCATGGGAAGCTAAACTTCCGGTTTTCAGTGCTCCCATGCGTGTGCGGCAGGGAGCTGCTCAACCAGTTTGGGGCATGCACTCCCGTTTCAGCACTCGGTGCCAAAAAGATTCGCCACCATTGACCTATACATCTTTGACTTGGTACCTCAAATGTCCTCCTTTGTAAGATTTAAGCAAATTATGTAGAAATCAATATGTTCCTTTTGGCCAGTGTATTGTGTTTTAATTTTCTTTCCCTTTCTTCTTTTTGGCCTTTTTGGTTCAGGTAATCTTCAACTTGTGACCACAATTGAGCCCAAAATTTCTGTTGCTAAGCAAGACAGTTGTTTTTTACGACCTTTCTTGCCACATCTGTTAAGTGAATCACTGCAGTTGTTAAGTTAGTAACACATTTGTTTAGTGAAACTGGCATCCCCATTGACTTTGCCGGTCAGAAGGTTGCAAAACGAGATCATACAACTTCCGACATTGCAACCGTCATAAATATGAGTTAGTTGTCAAGCGTCTGAATTTAGATCGTGCTCATGGAAATGCTGCAATGGTCATAAGTATGAAAAATGGTCATAAGTCACTTTTTTCAATGCCGTAACTTTGAACAAACTGTTGTAAGTGGAGGACTATCTTTATAATTAACTAATTGTTAAGTAGTAATATTCGTATGATCATTAAATGCATTCAACTGTAATTATCACTGGATTTGTTTCATGGTCAACCATGGCTCTGTCACAGTATGAGATACATTATTATACTACTGTGCTGAAATACTGCAGAAGTATACCTGAAAGACGGTTTTCATTTAAAATGAAAACTTTATTGAGAAGTGTACACCTTACACTTGTTGATGTTCTGGTATATCCTAATTCTACTGAGGACATATGTATCCATGGACTTAATAAATCCCAAGTTATGTGGTAGCTACTCTCAATGTGGCTTGTAAAGTGGTACTCTTGATGTAAAACAAGGTATCTTAGAATCATAGATTATAACCAGTTCCTCTAATTTGTGTTTTTAGATTCAAGCAGGTCTTCAACTCCAGCTATGTTAACTTCTGACCCAGCCACTTGTCCAATCATCCCAGGTTATGAAACAACAATCAGTATCTCCAAGGGACGTACTGGTCTAGGATTGAGCATTGTGGGAGGAGCTGACACATTACTGGTGGGTAAAAATAGCTTTTGTAACCCGTATACAATCTGTGGTTAACATTTCTAACACAAAAAGCAATGTCCCCTTGAATGTAACAGCACTTATTCTCAGATATTTGGATGTAAGATTAAACTTTGAGACCTATATAAAGTGACTTGAATAATGCATTCAAATACAAGGTATATTATTGGAAGTAAATTTAAACCCACAAGTGCATAAATCACTAATACAGTAAAAATTACACATCTCTGTTACAGTTCGTTCCTATTCATTCCTAGCTGTATTAAATATGTTTTTGAATTCATAAGTTACTGAAGTTTTTAAAGTTTAGATTTTTTTCTTCTTTTTATCATATTCTAACAGTTTCTTGTCAATGTTTCTTATTTTTTGTGTATAATTTTTCTGTAATGTTATGTAAAATGTTCTGATTTGTACTATTCATTAAGACGTACATAATTAAGGTCTCAAGGAGGCCCAATGGTCTAATGGTTAAGACACTGAGCTTGTTGGCCAGAAGGTTGGCAGTTTGAGATTCAAGTACCCTGTGACAGGTTGAGTTTCTATTACTTGCCTCAGCTCTTGCCAACCTAGCAATTCGAAAGCATGCAAATGCGAGTAGATAAATAGGTACCACTTTAGTGGGAAGGTAACAGTGTTCTGCATGCTTTGATATACAGTCATGCTGCCCACATGATCGTGGAAGCATCTTTGGACATTGCTGGCTCCCTTGGGTAGGAAACAGAAATTAATACTCTCACATAGAGTTGGATGTGACTGAAGAAACCTATCCCTTTTTTAAAATTAAGATCTTATTTCTCTTTCTCCCCCCCACCCCTTCTTGGTGCATTTCCATCTTTTGTTTATAATCATACACTGTAGCATAGGACAGTTGAAATCCACAAGTCTTAAAGTTGCCAAGGTTGGAGAGCCCTGGCATAGGAAACCTATTTAAAAATACATTTGCATAGAGACTTCTGAATCTTAATATGTGTGTGCGTGTGTTTTCCTACGTTCAAAATCTTTTCTTTTCCTTAAGATAGTTGCAATACATGGTAAAGAAGTCTTAACAAGTCAGTGACAGAATCTTTCAAATCTACAGGGAGCAATTATTATCCACGAAGTCTATGAAGAAGGAGCAGCATCCAAAGATGGAAGACTCTGGGCGGGTGATCAAATCTTAGAGGTACCGTATTGAACATTATACAACTTACGGTATCCTTCTGTGTAGAAAATAGAAATGATTGGGGAGGGGTGGAGAAAGGCAGTTGTGGAGACCTATGTCATTTTTGTAGTCAGCGATCTATGTATTCAGCATTCATCATCTCTTCGTTTAGGTGAATGGTATTGACCTAAGGAATGCAACGCATGATGAAGCTATAAATGTTCTCAGACAGACACCACAGAAAGTCCGCCTGACTGTTTACAGGGATGAAGCCCAATATAAAGAAGAAGACATGTATGATGTACTGAGTATTGAATTACAAAAGAAACCAGGCAAAGGACTTGGATTAAGTATTGTTGGGAAAAGGTAGGTACAGAGAGGATCTTCTGAAACTCTTACCGACTATAGTTTGTTGCCAAAAATAAGGTTTCTAAGAAAAGGCAACCCAACTAAATAGTAGGTGTTGGGTTTTAGTTTCAGTGTACTCTTGGCTTCCTGCTTAATTCTCAGTTACTTTCTGTATTAAAAAAATATATTTTCAGATCAACCCAATAAAACAGCTTATTAGGGAATTTATTTGCTAGGAGTGCATACAAAGCAGAAAATACATGTTATTATGTGGATGAAACAGACACGGTGTGTGGCTTAAAGGTTCAGTCAAACTATTCTGGTTGAATCATAGACGAACAGAACCATTACCCAGAATATTTGGATTGTTCTAAGTTTTGTCCAAGAAAAAAAATCTCAAGTCTTTTGGATGACTAAGACAAGGTTTTTGTACTTTATACCACCCTCCCTATCACTTCTGTATAGCCTATGCACCAGCATGGCCTCCTTGTCTACCCATCACTACTCTTGAATTTAAGGTGTGGCATATCCTACAAGCCAATCCACCCCAATGGGAAGATTACAGGATTTTTTTCCCTGCTAGCACTAAATACAGTTGTGTCTCCCTTAACACTCTCTTGTGTTTATGGTAGTAGAAAAAAATCTATATGGGTTTTAAGAGGTACTTCTTATTTAGTGCCTATGACATAATCCTGGCTCTCAATTTCTGAGTTTATGATACATTTTAATAATAACAGATTTTTATAAAAAGAGATATACATGTATGAAATATGTAGAAATATCTGTCACAAATTTATAAAAATGTAAAATTAATATTAAGTAAAACAGATTATTACTATTTTATTATATTTCACATGATTATATACCTCTTATGTATGTTCTAAGAATGATTAAAACTGAATTAGAATGTCCATTTACAAATATAGAGATTAAGAATTCAGTTTATAAAGCTCTGCACTGTTTATAAATCAATTCAGACATATGACAGGACGGTATAGAAGAGTCCAAGTAAATAACTAAATAAAACAAACACACATGAATATTGCATTTGTAGAAATGACACTGGAGTGTTTGTGTCGGACATTGTCAAAGGAGGTTTAGCAGATCTGGATGGAAGGTTAATGCAAGGAGACCAGATATTAATGGTGAATGATGAAGATGTTCGAAACGCTAATCAGGAGACAGTGGCAGCCTTATTAAAGGTACACTAGATTTGAGATAAAATGATATTATCAGAATCTGATCTAGACCCTTTTTGGTTGAAACCCCAACTATTGCTCATCCTTGATTTGATTTTGGTATAATTATTTTGATAAAATCAGATAAATGTATTGGGATTGCAACCCCTTTTTAATATACCCCCTGTGTTTACAGAAACTGTATACTCTTCATTTAATGACTCCCTCAATTAGCAACCATTTACAAATGTGATAATCATAAACGGTAATAAAAAATTCATTTTCCAATCAATGTGCACCTTTATGACCAAATTTAACACTCTTGACAATAATGCATGCTGATGTGAATAACAATGGTATAGCTGCATGAGATTTTATTTGAACGAGATGGCAATGGCCAATGATCTTTTGCAGCATCCCTCCTCCCTCTCCCCGTCTCTTTCTGTCTGTCTCATTCCCATGTTCACTTAGTGACCATTTTATTTAACAATCTGGTTGCTGGAATAGAACTTAGTCACTGAACAAAGAGTGGGTTCATTTTTGTTACTTTTTAATGAGTGATGCTAATCCTACCATATGTGTTTCCCAGCATAAATTAGATGAAGGGAGTGAATTTAGTAGTTTAGTTTATAAATCTTTTTACTGTACTCACTGCTATTAAAATTATACATGATATTTTGTTTAGATTTAACGTTAACTGTGGTACCAGTTGAAAAAAGTTTCTATTTTAATGACAATTTCTTCAAGGAAGCCTGAGTGTTCAGTGGTCAAAATGAAAAATAAGTCAGGTGTTAGACGTTAAATTTCATTAACGGTGCTAAGTGAAGAGATAATATAATATTTTGTTAGCATCATGATGGAGTTGAAGAAATTGATGCTGGATTTTAAAATTAGATTTTGAGCTGATTCCTTCCTTGATGGGCAGTCAAACAGTTTACTCTTGATGTATCTTGTCATTGAAGTGGTTTTTTTTGGTATGTCTACTTAGACTGTTTGTTAAGGATATCTCTCATTCTAAGTATAGATAGTCTTTGACTAACTAAACATTCATTAATTAACCATTCAAAATTACAACATCACTGAAGAAAGTGAGTTACAACTTGTCCTTGCACTTAAAACTGTTGCATCCCCACAGTCATGTGATCAAAATTTGGGCGCTTGGCAACTGGCATGTATTTAGGATACTTGCAGCATCCATATCATTGCTATTTGTGACTTTCCCCAGCTGGCTTCTGCCAAGCAAAGTCAGTGGGGGAAGCCAGATTCGCTTAAAGACCACATGATTCACTTAACAAGTGCAGTAATTCGCTTAACGATTCTGACCAAAAATAAATTTGGTCTTTGTAAATTTGGCCATGACTCACTTAACAACCACCTTGCTTAGGAACGGAAATTCCGGTCCCATTTGTGGTCATAAATCAAGGATTACCATTATTGTATAAGGAAGAAGTGCCGTTTGTTACAATTGCTGCTAAACAATGGTTTTCCAATAGTTAGCAGGTTTATATAATGATGGTTATAGACAGATCTTTAAACGAACATAATAGGTGTGAAACATGAGAAATATTTTTGCCCACTTGGGATTTTAGGGTTGAGTCATCCAATCCAAAATTGATAGATCCTATTATACAAATTATGCAAAAAAAATTCAGCTGACAATTGTATCCAATAGCAGGCTTTTTTCCTTTCAACTAAGAAATGACTTTATAAATCCCTGATCAAGACGGTTGTCTAACCAATTATGTCTTCTTCCTAGTGCTCATTAGGTGTTGTTAAACTAGAAGTTGGAAGAATAAAGGCAAGTTTGTTCCATTCAGGGAGGAGAATGTCTCAGAGCAGCCAGGTTTGTAACTATTTGCGCTGATTTCATTTAGGAAAAAAAGTCAAATCAGTTCAAAAAGCAAACAAGGAAAATTTGATTTTGCTCCATCATGATTTTTTTGTAGAATGTTATCAAAGATACTAAAACCCACAACTAAATTCCATAACTGGTTGAATTGGCCCACGTTAAATATCTGTAAAAGTGATATTTAGGAGATTGGTTCACAATGTCAAAATTTATCTACCAATACATTGAACATCAAATTGTCATTTTTATAATTTTTGCTATCACAATTAAAGCAGAGTGAATCTTCAGAACTGCAGTGGTGTAAGGGTAGAAGAGGTAGAATTTATCATCATCTTTCTAATGACTTTACAATACCTCCCATTAGGATAATTGTTTAAGAACTCTATTCCATAAGGAAAAGAATTATGTGTCACATGGAATCACGAATGTTTCTTCAAATACATTTCTCCTTACCTGTGTCTAATATTTAAACCAGACCAGACAATTTTCCAAATCCACTGTTATAGCTGAATATATTGTAGCCTGTATTATTTTTAGATCCAGATTTTTTATCTTTGCTCTTATAGAAACCATGTCTTGGATCCAAACTGGTAGGTATATTTCCAGAAAAATTATGTGTGATGCTAAAATATTAGATAGTATTGGTTTAGAAAAAAAACAACGATTCCAGAATAATTTTGATGTAATTCTCTAAGGTCAGTGAAGGAAGTGGCAGCCTGACATCATTCAGTTTCCCAGGTGGTGGATCCAACCTGCCTGAAAGTTACGAAAGCACTCTGAAGAAGAATTGTTGTAAGTTTCAGTAGTCATTACTTATATTATTTATTATATGATATTTTGCTGTGCTATAAAATAAACGATGTTCTAACAATTTTAAAATGATTTTTTTATAAGCAATTAGGACTGGAATTTCCATCACTAAGCAATGCAGTCGTAAAATGTCACTTTGTGTGAGTGCATCGCTTAGTGATGGCAGTCTGTTACAATAGTTAAGCAAGGATTGTGGGACATTAAGTGAGGATCTGCTTGCAACTTCCTTCTGCCTTCCAACCAAAGTCAGTGGGGAAGCTGGCAGGAAGTCACAAATCCTAGGTACCTTACCAGCAGGCTAGCAAACAGGTAAGTGACTGCTGCTGGGTGCAAATGGGTGCACGGGAGTGTGCGGGTGGCCGGGGAGCCATGGTCGAAGTGCAGTGGGGCTTAGGATGGCTGCATCTGGATGAGGAAGGTTAGAGAAGGGTTTGCGAGGGGTGGGAGAGTAGAGGTGTGAGCGTGGCAAGGCTCGGGAAGAGTACATGGGCTGGGGCGGAGGCGCAGAATGAATGCAGTGAGGCTCAGCAAGGTATGACACAAGCATAACAAGGCTTAGGTTAATTGCTGCTTGTGGAGAAAAATGCATGAATGGCGGGGGAGATACAGCATGAGCACAGCAAGACTTGGGAAGGGGGCACAGTGTAAGCTGAAGAACTCTCAGTGAGGTGGTGGATAATAGTGGAGGCCCAGTGCGAGCGCAAAGCTCTAGAAGGGTGCACAAGGGTGTGTGGGTGGGCACTGAAGCAAGTGCAGAGGGACTAGAAGCTGGCACGGGTGAGGAGACTTAACTGAACAACCTGTGACCTTCCCTGCTGGCTTCCCCATTAACTTTGCTTGTGGGAAGCCAGCAGGGAAGGTTCCAAATCACAATCACGTGACTGGGGACGTGGCAACCGTCATAAGTTCCAGACGGTTGCCAAGCGTCCAGATATCCGTGGAGGTTCAAAGACAGTAAGTGATATTTCCTCCAGGCATTTCTATAATATAACTAAAGCATTTTTTCAGTACTGCAGAAAGGAGATTAGCCCCAACCTAAAACCATTTTTTTTATGTCTATCCTGGAAACATTAGCTATCTATTGCTGAAAATAGATAGTACTGTTATCTGTTCTCAGCAATAGATATCTTGCTCTAAAAACAAGGTAGCCTTTTAAAATGCATGAAAATTAAGTAGTTTTGAAATAAAAAATTACAACCATAATTTCTGTGTTTTTAATAGTGGCGTCTGAAATACAAGGACTGAGAACAGTTGAAATAAAAAAGGTAAGCCAGTTCCAGCATATTTAAAAAAATAAAAAAGCTTTGGAGGAAAATACGCTGAACAAAATTTTTGGTGAAAAGCTAGGTTTAAAAAAGAAAAAAATTGAATTTATATTAAACAACATCACTTTTTTTTTCATCCTGTGGGTTAAGATTTAAAAATATTTTTTCTAACTTTTTGGGGTGATTATTCCCTTAATTAAGAAGACATAAGCTTTGTTCTTAAGTATCCCTTTATCCTTCAGAATTATGATTATTGCCTTTTCTCTTTATTTAAAAGGAGACCTGTTGTTCATAATATGAATATTTAGGCATCTGCAGGGGAGGGTTTCTTTTTAACATCATTATTTTTTAAAAAAAATCTGGTACTTTCCTGATCCACTTCATATTACAAGGCACACGATTCAGTTTGATAGAAGCTTCAGAGTCTGTTCACCACAGAACAGGGCAGGCTTGTTATTCAGGAAATGGAAACCCACAACTCCCTTGAGGATGCAAAACAATTTGCATGGTAGCCCATATGGGCGATGTTTGTTCATAAACATTTTGAAACATAACATAGTAGGTCTCTCTCTCTCTCTCTCTCCCACTCACTCACCCTCCCTCCCACTCTCTGTCTCTCTCTGCGTGCATGCGTGCATGCACCAGCAAAGCAAGAGTAACAGCAAACTTAAAAACCTGCTTTAAAGAAGGATACTTTTCTAAAGAAAGTAAATGTGCAAAAGGATGAAAGGAGGTAAGCTGCACTGCCTCCTTTCCACTATAGAAATTTTCATGAAGAAGCATGATTCTTCTACTACCCAGTTGCTTTGGAGAGGACATTAGAGATAGATGGCGGTGCCACCTGGGCCTTCAGGTGTTGATGCTCAAATCCTTGAGCTCCCAGTGATCTTGTCTTCAGCAGCAAATTAGCTCTGATGAAAACAGTCTGCTAATGTTAAAATAACATCAGTGGTAAGGTTCACAAATAGTTGTGTTCACTTTAATCAAACACAGTGATTGAGTGATTACTTTTTCATCAAGTATGATGAGTCGGTAGCTCTGCCCATGTTGTAGCTTTGGCTAGAATTCAAACTATTTTTGAATGATTATTTGCCATAAGTCAGTGTAGACCAATGACTTAACTAGGAAATAGCAGATAATCATTTTCCTTATTTTTGTATTTAGTATGTAGTACTGTTTCAATATTATAATATTGAGAAAGTTTTGATAGATAAATTGCTTTGATAACCAATTCTAATTTTCACTGGCATTACGTTTTAAATCCTCCTGAAATGGATTTAGTTACAATTTTTTAAAAAAAGAAATATTAGACATAGGTTTTGAAGTTGCTGTTTATTAACAGGCCACTTCATATTAGATTTTGCAAGGTGGAACAAGCGTACTTGTGTTAAAGTTGTGGGTAAAAACATACACTAGAGGGAGCATGATTTTATAGGATTATACTGCTTCCCTAAAATTCATAATGAAAAGGTGTATTTCATGTGTACTAATGGCATTTAAACATTCATGTTTTGTTTGTTTCTTCATGAGATACAAAGGATATTGGCAACAAAGAAGGAATCAAACTTAAAGCTAATGTATGCTGAAATCAACCAAGATATGGGACATTTTTGTAAATCAACCAAAGATATGAATATATTTTGTATTAATGTTTCCTTGTAGTTCTCAAAATGTCAAAATTTGTTTCTAATATAATACTATCTTATGTACCTTTGCAGAATCCCTTTTTCCATTAAATTTTCACCCATTATCTCTAAATAGGCCCTGTTTCTCTATATTTTGTTTCTGTCCTTTATAACTTCTTTTCCTTTCTTCCCTCTCATCTTCTCCCTCCCCTTTTTACCCCCTTGTCTCTCTACTTCTCTCTTCTGCATTTCCCTCTACTGTTGCTTTCACAAATGTTCACAAATCTCTTCCATTTACAGACATAAAAAAATGAGCCATTCATTCAAATACTTATTATAGCCTTCCCATTTTGGAGTGCTATTTAGATCAGTTAAAACATCCCATAATCTGCAACCAGTATGGAGTTGAGAAAAATAATTACCCTTGTCTGTTTTCTTTTTGATCACACAGAATATCTCAGAAGTAAAAATTTTTACAGACTCTCCAGGTCAATACATGGTAAACAAAGTAATTAAGTTAAATAGAAATGAAGCAAAACAATAAGCACAGATAGTATTTTTTCAGCCTCAGTGTTCTCTGGGGGAGTTCTTGAATGCTTATGAAGGCAGTCAAAGAGAGGCCTTAATATGATTTCTATTTCCGAAGAAAGTGTAATAAATTCAAAACACTGCGATCTTCAAAAGTAACCTCATGCCAAGTGATTGCCATCCAGGTAAATAGTGAGGAGTCATGAGTTAATAAAGGAAGCAGTTAGGCCTCCTATCTGCTGCAGATAGGAATGCAGCTGACACACCAAAGAAAGCTGGATAACGGCATCCACGTTTCCTTCTAGCAATAATCATGACTCCATTTTGGTGGCCGTGGGTTTTGAAAAGGGGCTTAAAAATAATTACTCTTCCATGCATCGGAATACAGGAACGATTCTTGGGAGGTAGGATTATCATATTAACATCTAAAATTTCATTTTATCTTCTACATTAAGCCAAAGCCAGCTGATCTGTCATAATTAGAACCTGCCTCTACCAACAGAACAAAGTAAACATTTATTTATTGATATTTCCTGTTTCTAAACTGCCCATCTCTCTCTGTTGTTTGCCTTTGTTCTAACAGGGCCCTTCAGATTCTTTGGGAATCAGCATTGCTGGGGGAGTAGGAAGTCCTCTTGGTGATGTTCCCATTTTTATAGCCCTGATGCACCCAAATGGAGTTGCAGCACAAACCCAGAAATTGAGGGTAAGAAGAAAAGAGAAAATGTTTTGAGAGACTTCAAGTAATGTGATCCAATGTGGTTTTTATGTGTATGTTAATCAAATAAGTCAATGGTTAGTAACTGGTGGTTTGTTGGCTGCTTGTGGCCTCTAATGGCTTCCAAATCATCTCCAATCATATTATTGAAGTTCAGCAGAACAGCTATCAAAATTTTAAGTGACACAGTGGTATGACTGTTTGTTTGTTTGATGGTTAAAGATGCAAAATGGAGGTTGTAAAAGGGTCACTGTTGTGAGAGGGGCAGCCATATAAATTGTTTGAATAAATTAATAAAAGCTTTATGAATCCCAGAATAAATCTATACTTTAATCCCCCCCATCTTCCCCCAAAAGACAAAAACAGCTGAAAATTTTCCAAAACATGCACTACCATATCACCTGTTGTCTTCAGGAGCCAAGAAGCTTCAGTCAAAAGAGCAAACTGACCTTCAGTTCCATGAGGGTTGACCATATTTAATGTAAGTAAAGGTCACCTTTACTTGGCAAAAGAGAATGCCATCTTAGGGACAAGATGCTTCACCAATAAGTAGGAGAGGTGATTCAGGTTGGAAAGATCCAGTGAAAACTGCAACCCAACAAATGGGAGCAACTCTTCAATTTATCCAACGAAAAGAATGCCGTTTTTGTTTCTGTATTGTCAGTGATATTTACAGGGAGTCCTCAATTTACAACTGGTTGCTTAGCCACTGTTTGATGTTACGACAGATCCCCCAAAAAACTAACTACGACTCAGTCATCCACAGTCATGTGTCCACATTTTGGATGCTCAGCCACTGGCCCACATTTATGACTGTTTGCAGTGTCCTGCAGTAATGTGACTACTATTTACAATGTTTTCCCCAGAAAGTGATGTTTACTTCTGGTTTCTGGCAAAAAAATGACCCATAATGACCAGTGGGTTTATGACCACCACATTCACTTAACAACCATGGCAAAAAAGGTCATTAAGTCAGACGCTTTCACACAAATGCCGTACTTAACATCGTGATTTACAATTGTAATTGTACAAAAACTATCTGTACACACTAAGCCACTAAATAGTACAGTTTTATATCACAAGGCCGAAATCCAACCAAGTATGAGTTATTTACTACAACTAAGGCAACCACAATTTATTATATTCAAGACCCACTTTTTAATTTTGGAAACATGGAAGATATTTTCGATTATTAACATTGAACAATGGCTTGGTGATATATATTGAGACACCATAATAATTTTGCTTGTTTTAGAAACACCATTGTGCTTACAATGTAATGGGAAAGAAAGTGTTAATTAATGACTTTGGAATAATTTGGTATAATGGATTCCCACCCCCCAAAATCTCACTTTCATCATCCAGGTTGGAGACAGGATTGTGAGCATTTGTGGGACATCCACTGAAGGCATGACTCATTCCCAGGCTGTCAGTTTGCTGAAGAATGCTTTGGGCACCATTGAATTACAGGTAGGAAAGTTGCCTGCAAATTAACATGTAAAGGCGGTAGAATTCATCTTACAATTATTCATATTATGATTTATATATTGTGATGACTGTCTGGAATCATATCTCATCCCCATAAGGTAGGTCAGATTTGGAAATCAACTGCACAAGAGGCTTGAGATTATTTTTATTGAAATTGGTCGTAATAACAGAATCTTGCAAATAGGCTGTTTCTCCTCCTCTTCTTATACTACAGTGAATCGGAGGCATCTTCTCTGGACTGGTTTCTCTTTTTTAAAAAATACTTTCTTAAATTTCTGCAAAACATAAAATATAAAACAAACAAACAAAATTATTAAGGAAAAGCATAGGAGAAGAGAAGGTGCAAAGGAATTAAAAAAACAATAGAAAATAAAAAATAACTTTCAACTTTCTTTGATACAGTTACAAATATATATATCAAAAATTCAATGGTATCCAATATTTCTATAATCATAAACACTTAATCATCAAATCACAAACTTAATATATCATTTTTATATTCTATATATGTTCTGTATTGGTTTTTAGCAAATCTATCTATCTATCTATCTATCTATCTATCTATCTATCTATCTATCTATCTATCTATCTATCTATCTATCAGTGGTTTCCACATAGAAAAAGAAAGTTAGACGAAGTCTTTAACGTAGTCAATTTTGCCATCTCAGACATTTCCATTAACTTCAGCATCTATTCTTTCCATCTCTGTGCAAAGAGAAGTCTGGCTACAGTTATTATACTGTATATAGAACAATTCCCAGCTGTTTATCCATCAGATCTGAAAGGAAAACATCTTGCTTCAGTTGTATATTTGTTTTAAGGTGACATAAAGTACCTTCAGACTGATTACATTTCCAATATATGTTTGACGATGATACATCTTTGATAATTTATGAGGTGTTAAATTATCAGTGATACATTATATTATAGAAATTATCTTTCAAATTGGAGTTCAAAGTAAATTGTAATCTCATAGTCCACATGTTTTCCCACTGATGTAGCATTATTTTATATCCCAAAGAAGAAGACTTTAATCACAAAGTCTTCTTGTATATTCATTTTACACAACTTGGCAATGACATGCTCCTCCTTAGAACACAAATTCAGTTCAAATTCAGTTCTCTCATTTTTGTGAAACCAGAATTATTCTCACTACTTAAATCTTTTTCATATCTCAGCATAAGCAAACCATTGACATGTAAAACCATCCTTTTCCATTTTTTCTCTTGTTTTTCATTATATTTCCCTCAGAAAAAACCACTAAATCTGCATAAGTCAAACAAGTTTATGTGGCTTATCATTTCTCTTCTTTGAAAAGCTTCTTGAGATGATAACCATATCTCATCGTTATGGACTTAAAAATGCTTCAGCCTCTTGTACCCATATTTTTTCATCAAGGTCATTTTTATTCTCTACATCTATATTTATGATGCCTTTTAAAAGCTACACAGTAATCTGCAATCAGTGTGTCTTTTAAGGTACATTTGGAGCATAAGTTGAAGCACAAGGTATTTTGCAGCTGATCACATCATCACACAGGTAAATTTGCTTTAAATAGGCAAGCATCTGTCCAACCCACTGCTGTGCAAAAGTCTGTTAGCTCATTCCTCTGTGTGATCAGCTGCAGTAAAAAATGTCCTAAACATCTTTATTTGGAAACCAGACATATGGCTAATGTTATCATACCAGCAGCCAGTCTTGGGCATTTATATCATAAATCTAACATTCTGGCTATCATTGCTATATTTAGGTGTTTAAAAAATGGTTATAAGCAGGAATGTGTTTCTTTAGAGACTACGTTCTATTTGCAACTAGACATAATAATAGTGTCTTGTCTATATGCCATGTGTATTTATGGAGGCCTAGGGATTTGCATGTAGTCCTTCACTTAGTAAAGAGCCCCCAAAAGCTACTTATGACTTGGTTTCAAATTTATGGCAGCTGCAGTGCCTTTCATAGTTGTTTACCCTTATGACTGACACAAGGATGCTGCAGTGGCTGACCCCCCTCTCCTTTCCTTGACCCATCCCATCTGCTCCTTGCAGGCCTTTTGGCCTGCTCCCAACCCAGTCATTCAGCCACCCAAGCTTGTGGGCCAGGCCTTCTTCCCATCCTGGGCCTACAAGTTCTAACAGCTCCCCATGCTCCAGCAGCTTCTCATATCTGGCTTTAGGCTTTTTTGAGTGGCTGGGGTTGGGAGTGGCTGAAGCCTGCAGAGATCCTGAGGGTCAGGGAGTGGATCAGGGGATGCCTCAGAGTTTTGGGGAGGCCTTGGGAAGCCCAGTACAGGCAGGACTGAACCTGCACTAAATCTCCCAGGGCCTCCCACACACTTGAGGCACCCATGTAACTAACCACACATTCATTTAATGACCACATCAGGGAAAGCAAGCAGGGGAGGGGGTGTCATTAAGCAGGGCCCATCTCCCTTAATAGCCATCACCGTTTCTAATCATAATGGATATGTTCCATTACAGTTCTAGGTCGACAACTATGTATAATTGAGAAATGAGCTTGCTATGGAGCCCAGTTCCCTCCATTCAGATCAAATATGCAGCTTTCTCTGGATTTCTCTTCAAGCTCAGAAATAAGCTACTCTTTCTGTAACTAAAAGGGCTGAGTTGTAACATGCACAGAGCAATTACTACCTAGACCTATGTTTCAACCAAAAAGTGTCATAAAAGAGAAAAAGAAAAAGGGAAGAGAAACTGAACAAATGTTAAAATCAAACAAGCTTGCAATACATAGCAATAAAACCCATGGCTTAGTTTAAACTTGAGGACAGGATAAATAGGAAGTGGAAATGAGTGACTGAGTTCAGTAGTTGGCTATGTATATTATTTGAGAAATGAAGACAAACCAAACACTTATAGGAGCAGAAGAAAACCAAACAAATATACAGTTGCTTTTGTAGGTATAGTTATGCCTCTCATGAAATTTGATGATACATATTGAATATAGCTGTATGCCTCTAAAACATATAGAATATAAAAATTCAGATCAATTTTTGTTTGGCAGAGCTGTATCCCTCTTCCATATAATGATCTATATACTCATTTGTTTATGCTTAACGCTAACTTGCAGGTTGTAGCTGGTGGAGATGTCAGTGTCATAACTAGCCAACAGCAGGATCCACCAACATCTAGTCTAACATTTTCTGGTCTAACATCAAGCAGCATTTTTCAGGATGATTTGGGGTGAGTTTATCAACTTAATAATGGTTAATGTGGATTTTTCTAACATCTCTGTCAAATCTACAGTAAGAAAATGTACTTAAATTCAGTCTCAGTTTTACTTAAAATTGGCAACAGTCTACTGCAAGCTTGAATGTCAAGATTTTTATGGTTAGGGAAGTTGAGGTTCCATTATTTTGGTGAACATAACAAAAATATGCCATTGAAACGTTTAATACAAGAACACTGGTAATAAATAATAAGGAAGAAGAGGATGGGAATTGTCAGCCCAAATCAGTTCATTGCAAGATGAAAACGTCTTCATTAAAGGTTATAAATTGGTGCACATATATAGTTCTAGAAATATACAATACAATATTTAGTTTGTTTTGTACATATGTATGTTAGACAATCAAGCATGTTTAATGATCTACTACTAAAGTGAGCAAAACAGTGAGACAACTTTTTGTGTGTGTGATAGGCCCCCCCAATACAAAACCATCACTCTGGATCGAGGACCCGATGGCTTGGGCTTTAGCATTGTAGGTGGATACGGAAGTCCTCACGGAGATCTGCCCATTTATGTTAAGACAGTATTTGCAAAGGTAAGAACTTGATACCAAATTCATTTGCCAACTAGATATTCTGTTTAAAATCTTTGACATGGTCCATTCTGTCTTCTCTAAAGTATCAAGTCGATGTTGATCCTTAGCATCCATATAGATAATCTAAAATCATTATTAGATGACTAAGACAGCAGGAGGCAGACCATTGCCTTCAAGTGTACTTCCATCTGGGATTGGTGTGACCAAAGGCCAAGGTATTATACAATCCAAGCCATCTAAAATAGAGGTTTTCAACCTTTCTTCACCTCATAGCATGCATTTCACAGGCAGGACTTTCAGGTAGCGAAACCTGAAATCCCATGACATCCCAGGTCCTGGGGCTGGAGAGGAGAAATAGAGACAGTTCACCTGTGGTGATGCCATGGGAGGTGGGGTTCTGTTTGAGAGACACACCTGTAGACTCTTTGCAGGGTACCAGCATGTGCCACATTGTTTGAAAACTGCCGATCTATAAAATATGAGATGTCTCACCTCTAGCTCTTACCTTCCTTTAATGTCTTGTTAACTTTGTCCTGCATATCTTGCACTACATGTGTGATGCACTGACTTGAATGCCTGATGGGAACAAAAAGGGAAAAAAAACCCAGAAATTTTGATAATGCCTCCTATTTAGTGGGATTTTATTTCACTATTGTAGTTCTTTTTAAAACAGGGCACTGTTATCTCTAAACCTCATGCATCTAACATGCTCCAAGGCCGCCTTTCATTTTTGTGCATCTGTAATTTTGTAAATCCATATGCTAAACTGGAACTCTGTCTGTCTATCTATATTTATAGGGAGTAGTCTCGGTTTAGAATATGGGTGTTATTCAGCTTTGTTCGGGTATTTTCCCACGTCATTATAGTTGTGCTTTTAAAGTTGTATCAACGTTTCAGCAGAATCTCATCTGCCATCATCAGGCTTCTGTATTGTGTTCGTCTGTGAGTCAGACTTTTACAGTTGTTTCAGTTTTAAATTTGGGGCTAGCCTACTGCTGTGCCAGAATGTTTTTTTCTTCATCCTGATTGGTTGGGAGTCTTGGTCTGTGTTTATTGGTCTTGGAATTTGCTGTGTTCTGCTTGTTTGGTGTTTCTAATATCTTCTGTCTGTTTTGTGGCTTTTTTTGTCTTGATTGGCTGGCAACATTGTGTTCCTGTATTGAAAAAAGACCTGAAAGCATGAATAGAAGAGATGATTCCACCAGACTGTCAATTATCTGGAAGCCTGCACTCTCAAACAAAAAAATCTCCACACTACAAGCCGAGCAAACACCTGGGCACAAACAGACCCCCCCCCCAATACCTCCAGCTCAAACACACCCCAACCAGTCACCCAGATGAAACCTAGCTTCCTAATAAATGATAGCCGTCCGTTTACTCAGAGCCAAGCCGCACTAAAAACCTCCAATACAGGCAACACAATGTTGCCAGCCAATCAAGACAAAAAAATCAGGATGAAGAAAAAACCATTCTGGCACAGCAGCAGGCTAGCCCCAAATTTAAAACTGAAACGGCTGTGAAAGTCTGACTCACAGACAAACACAATACAGAAGCCTGATGATGGCAGATGAGATTCTGCTGAAACGTTGCTACAACTTTAAAAGCACAACTATAATGACGTGGGAAAATACCCGAACAAAGCTGAATACCATACATACATACATACATACATACATACATACATACATACATATGTAGGAATGACCTAGATTTTGTTTATTATGCAGAATTTGTCCACAAATAAAAATATTTGCATTAAAGGAATTGCAGGATAATGTCCTACGTTTCTCTCTGCTATGACTCATTGTTTAATGCAAGAGGACTCTCATGAAGAAATATTTGAGCTGAACAAGATCACAAGTTCTAAGAATTGAATACTGGGTATATAAAACCTTAATTCCTGATGTTGTCCTCATGCAAAAAGCAGCCCATTGTTAAGAACCTCATTGTATCAAAAATTCCCATGGTATATGAATCATATTGGTTAGTGGTGACAGGAAGGGCATCCGGCCACTAAAACACTCTGCCAGCTCCATTCAGTTGCCCAGATTCCATCCTGCAAGGGATTATGGGGTTGTTAAAAGATGACAATGATATAAATGATACTGGTTGGGGTCAGTTACATGTAAAGCCAAGATTATGGTATAGCCTGCGGCCTCAGTTGGACGCCCTGTATGTATTCTGTAAAATAAAATCTGTTTTGTTTTTTTTAAACATTGCAGGGCGCAGCAGCAGAAGACGGGCGCCTGAAAAGAGGGGATCAGATCATTGCAGTCAATGGGCAGAGCTTGGAAGGGGTCACCCATGAGGAAGCTGTTGCTCTTCTAAAAAGAACAAAAGGAACTGTGACTTTGACTGTTCTCTCTTAAGTCCTGTCTCCAAAGATGAGATGAGAGTTTGTTTGCTGCCAGGCTGTTTTTAATCAGGGATGAAAAATAACGAATGGTCTTATTTTTATCCATGGTTAGACATATCGTTGAATTACAGAGATTGGCTTCTGTAGGATAAGAAAGTGACAAAATTTGAAAGCGGTAGTAATAAAATCAGAGTAAGAAAAAGTGAAATGGAAAGGAGGAAATGTATGGTGTGATAACCTGGCGGTGCATGTTGTGTGATTGTTGAGGGATTTGTAATGGGGAATTCTGGAACTGTGTAATCTCTGGAAGAAACAAATGTTTGGCTATTGCTTAGCCAGGGTTAAGTTAAAGCTCTCAAACATATATATTCATTTGATTCAATTTTATTAATATCCCTGTGCCCAACATGAGATCTGAGACAAACTGTTTTCTGGAATAATAGTGCTTAAGAAAAACACTTTTTTAAAAGAAGAAAGTTTCCTGATTCTTCCTAGAACTATTGAATTGAATTGATCTTCATGTTATTTCTTAAATAGGACATTTCGTTAGGAGACAGGACATATGTGGTAGTAACACTTAACTTGTTGCAGAGTCCCCCGGAATACAATATACCTTCTCTTCTTTCTTTGTGGGATCAAATTGCCTTTCATCACTGTAATATATCTCATTATCACAAATGACCTAAAAATTATTGATGGAAAGATCGATCCCAAATTCTGGCTTCTAAAAATACATTTAATATTTCCAATGCTTGGTTGCAACAAAAAGAAAGCGAAAGCTCGACCCACTGATTTTAAACCAGCTAGTTAAAAACATTATAATACTTAGAATATTTGGTAGCTTTTCATACGGATGCTTGTGTTAGCAGGTTAGTAAAAAGTGGCCTAAAGCAGTTCTCATACAGCAAACAAAGACACAGATCCGAGATCCTTCTTCGCAGCCTTTGAAGGCTCTGTAACTGCAGAAGACCCAAACTGTTTTTACTACAGGTAGTCCTCAACTTGCAACCACAATTGAGCCCAAAATTTCTGTTGCTAAGTGAAACATTTGTTAAATGGGTTTTGCCCCATGTTACAACCTTTCTTGGCTCAGTTGAAGCTTAGAAATCCAATGCACGCGTGCACACATACACACAAACAAACAGCAAGTTAAGGCAAGAGAATGCCCCCCCCCCACACACACACACACTTCAACATTTACCTTGTTCACTTGTCTCTTTCCTAGTGACAACCACTTAACAGTATTGGGCTGAGGTAGAGAAGCATATTGGGTCATTTTCTGTTCTATCTTTGCCTTATAATCTTACAGGTAGCCCTTGCTTAACAATTGACTTCCTTGTACGGCAACAAGTTGCAGATATGACAGCGATGACCAGTCCTTGTATTTACAATCTTTTGCAGGTCTGTTAAGCAAACGAAAGCTGAAGTACCATCATAAGCACAGTTTCTGTTTCACTTAGCAACCGCTTAGTGACTTAATGAACATATTGCGGGTCTCTTGTGATTACTAAACAGGGTGACCTGTGTTCTTGTGTTACGACAGTTTGCAAATTGTGCAATAGTTCAGCAGGATTTTAAAAATGTAACTCAAAATATAATTACTGCCCTTAGTTGGAAATAGAAAAAACTGAGAAAGCCAATGAGGAAAAAATAATTGTAATTTAGTTTAGGGGGAATTTTTTGAGAATTTGTTTAGCTATGTTCTGTCTGTGCCTGCTGCTTTCATGTGCTAATTACTGAAATTCTGGAAAGTACTGTTCCTTATAACTATATTTTTTTCTTTATTTATATAGGAATGAATACCTCATTAAAAGACCTACTAACATTAATTGGGACAATGTATTAGAATGTCCCCTTTCCCAGTTATTATCCCAAATTAGCATGTTGGGGTATAAATGTATTTATATTAATTTTTTTTATTTTGTTTGTGTTAACATTTTAAGTATATATCTTTGGGATTTGCATTTTAAAAATACCCAAAGAATACCACTGGGATGTTAAAGAAAAATGAAGAAAAATACCAATTTACAAGCGGACCGTAGGATTATAGAAAGTAAGGGTGGGATGGGCCTTAGAGATCATCTAGTCCAATCACCTGTTCAGTACAGGAGATCCTATTATTATACTTAGTGTAATAGCTCATTTAAACATACTAAATGATTACTGAGAGAGCAGCCCAATTCCAAGCATAGTTTACTTTTTAAAACTCCTAAATGAAACAGACTTTGGTTACAGTCCTGTGTTCAAGTACCTGAAAAATACTGCATTACGGCTTACATACATGGAGTATGTATGTACTGTTGTTCTCTTGGTTCTTGAAAAGATCTATAGATCAGAGTGTGAAGGAAAATCACCCAAACGAATGATGGAGCAAGGATTTCTCTCCCCCAAGTAAAAATAAATAAATAAAATAAAAGCATTCAAATGAGGCTAACAGGGTTCCAAGTAATAGAACAAAACTCTGAGGCAGATGGATTCCTCAAGTAATAGCTTTATTGGATATATCATATTGGCACAGATCTGATGAAAACTGACTCTGAAGGTTCCTGTGGTTTTCACCTAATTAAAGGTTTTCCCTCAACCCCAGTCAGTCAGTCACATGGTCCAATCAAGATGCTCTTTAGTTGCCTGGTGACCTCACTCCTCCTCCCTCGGGCCAGGTGTGAGAATGTCCTTGGTTCCCCAGAGAAAGTATTTTGTTGTGGCTACAAAACCCCAGCTATCTCTAACCCCATCCCCTTATCCCTTAGCCCCAGTGTGGCAACACTGAAGCTCCAAGATGGTCAGGTCAGCTTCAGGGTTGACAGAGACTACAAGTAAAACAGGATAGCATTTTGCAGAGGATTTAATTTCTTCCATTTGTCTTACCAAGAAAAAACAGATGTTCCTTTCTCCCTCCCTCCCTCCCTCCCTCCCTTTCAAGAGGCCCAGTCTTCAGGAAACCATATAAGACAGGGATCTCCAACCTTGGCAACTTTAAGACTTGTGGACTTCAAGTCCCAGAGTTCCTGGCTGAGAAATTCTGGGAATTGAAGTCCACAAGTCTTAAATTTGCCACGGTTGGAGACCCCTGATATAAGCTATTAACTATTTCATAATTGCTGCTGAATGAATAGGGGTCCATTTCAACCTAAGCAAACCTGATTTAGAAAAACTATGAGAAAAGATACCAGTACAAGGTAGTCCTCTATTTACAACCACAATTGTTTCCAGAGTTTCCACTGTGAAGCAAGGTGGTTGTGAAGTGAGTTGTGCAGGATTTTACTACCTTTTTTTTTTTTTTGCCAGCGTTCAAGTGAATCACTGCAATTGTTAAGTGAATCCCAGACTCCTTAAGCAAATCCAGCTTCCCCCATTGACTTTTGCCCTCTGGGAAGATCACAAATGACAATCACCTGACCCTGGAATGCTGCAACTGTTGTACACACATGCAGGTTGCCTAGCACCCAAATTTTGATCACGTGTCCATGGGGGCGCTGTGATGATCGTTATGCGTGATGACCAGTCGTACCTCACTTTTTTCAGCGCCCTTGTAACTTTGGACTGTCACTAAGGGAATGTTTGTAAGTGGAGGACTGTAATATCTTCATAATAGGCGTTATTCAGATAATTTTAGAAATCAGAAATTCAATTTTAGAAAGCAGAAATTCAGGCGGGGTTGAGTGGCACCTTTTCACACTTAGCACATTTATAAAAAAAGGCATAAGCAAGATGAAGCCGCTGATGAAGGGACCAATAATTCACAAAATCTTAAGTCTTTTCATGAGGTGTATTAATTTGAAAAGGTGCTATCAAGACCCCTTTGGATTTGGGGCTACCAAAAACTAACACAGCTTATTCTCATACAGTGTCTTAGAGTGGTGGTAGTTCAGTGCAGTTTGGTTCAACAGGAATTCTTGATACCATTAGTTGACATTCAGATAGAGGGAGAAAAAGCTTCCGTCAGTTAACAATTACTGGCAATCTCTGTTGGATTCTAGTCCTGTATGTATTAACAGTGTTGTAGAGCAGGGTGTCATACCTTGGCAAAATTAAGACTGACGGATTTCAACGCTTAGAATTTTCCAGCTAGCCATGCTGGCTAGGGAATTTTGAGAGTGAAGTTCACAAGTCCTAAAGTTGCCAGGGTCGGATATCCCTGGTGTAGAGCATGTGATACCTATGTGCAACCACTTAAAACCTCCTCTATATTTGTAACAGATGTAGTGTACAGATATTTTATTATTTTTAAAAAATTTCTTCTCTGCAGTATTAGCTTGATAAGTGTAAAGTTATTTGTGGTAAACAAATAAAGGTTAAACATATCCATCTTTGTTTTTTAGGTCTATCTGTCAATTGGGTATGATTTCATTTCATTGTGAAGTTTATATTCCAACTTTTCACCACAACCAGCTTTTGAGGCATCGCCACAAACGAGCATTCATGGCTGAAGTAGAGTGGAGTAGAGTATAAATCCCCTGCTCCAGGTTAACTGTAACACCACCCTGGCTTTCTGAACAAATTCTGCTTCCTAAGAACTAAGTCCAAATTGTTTGATCTCATTTATCCAGACATCCTCCAAGATATGTGGATATCGTAGCTAATTTAACTTGACAAAGCCAGCGCAATGAATTCCTTCCTGGCACCTCAGGCTTTTTAATCTCCAATATCTATGCACAATACAAGAGAAAGCTAGAATAAATATAATTTCGTAAATACCTGAAGATTGTGGGCTGCTTGGTGCTCTCTAAACTTGATGGTTTTCTTGCAGAAGCTTCATTACCAAACTAGATAACACCATCAGTGCTAGGATGAAGTGGGGTTTGCTCCACTTCATCCAAATTATGGCTTGCTCTGTCAGTGTTGGTGAGAGTGTTGGTGATTCCTTGATTGGGATATTGTTTACTTCTTGATTGTTGGGGTAGTTAGTGTTAATCTAGATGCCCAAGAAAAGCACTAAATTCAGAGAGCACCAATGATTTCTCAATTCCACCTTCAGCTACCAATACTCTCTTCTGAAGATAGCATTGCTATATTCACAAGTCAATAAAGGCCAGTTCTCATGCAGCCAAGCACATATTTCAGAATTAATTGGTGTGGGATTAGTTTTAATTTCAATGACATCAGGAGGTCTATGGTAGTATAGTAAAAAAAAAAAAAAAAACCATCCCCTCTTATTGTGGACTTAGCTATTGATACATTTAGAATATTTGGCAACTAATTTCTGCTTTGTGGAAAAGGCAAATGTATAAAAATCAGCCAGCCTGCTATGATTCTTGAGATAAAATGGAATTTTAAAAAGGAAATAAAAATGACAGAAGAACTGCATTATCTTAGGGGAGGGGAACACCCCAAAAGATAAAACCTGGAAAAATCACACCTTCCACACACCTGCAGATCCAGCCTTCAATTTCAACATACCCTTTTTCCCCGTGCCAGGCAGAACAGGTCGATTTTCAATATCTTCCTGAAGTCCATGATTGACAAAACTAGCCAGATCTCTCTCTGTCCA